TTTTAACGAAATTCTTCAACATTTTATCTTCAAACGCTCATAAAAAATGACTGTGGATTTACACTAATTTTAGATTCTGAGTGAAACGATGAATGTATTGATTTTACAATGATGTGTGTTTTTTTTTTTTTTTTTTATTTTTATTTTTTTAGTTTTTTTTTTTTGTGTCTGTGTACACGATAAGTAGTCGAATAATGCTTCGATTTTCGACTTCAGTATCTTGTTCGATTGGAAAGTGAATATCGTTGGTGCATTGGGGAGGTCAAAATTTAAAATTCCCAATAGTTTTCACAAGCGCCGGGAAAAACAACATAAAAATTAAGGAAAAACGGGAATTTTTACGCAAAATCTGTTTTCGAGAAAATCGATTTTGGTTTTTGGTGTAACTTTAAAACAAATGACCGTAGATACGGATTTTGAACTGTTTAGGGACATTTTCATTTTTCATTTTATTTTAGTTTTTTTTCTAGAAATATCAATAAAATTTTATTTGTTGGTTAAAAAAACTTGAAAATTTAATAGAAGGCTCCTGGTATATTGTTTCAAAGGCAGATGAAAAATTTTAAAAATCGTTAGTCACAGTTTTTTTTTATAAGCATTTAAAGTTCAAAAATTGACAAAATATGGAAAAATCACGAAAATTAGCAAATTATTTTGAGTTGAGAATTCGTAAAAATTTTTCTTTTTAAATCTAAGATTTGAAAATGAAACACAAGATTCCTTATAAGATTATCTACCTTTATCAATAAAAAAATCTCTACCGGACAGTCAAATTAAATTTTTATGAGCGTTTGAAATTCAAATTTTTACAACATTGGATTTTCACTAGATTACTCATGTAGCGATTTCCTTATTTTGTTGTAATTCAAAAACGAACAACTGTAGATACATGAAAATTTCACTGAATGTTTAAATTAGCATTTTCTATACACCATACAATTTTGAAAATATTTTGACTCTTTTTGAGCTGTTTATGGACATTTACAGCTTTCAATTTTTTTTAGTTTTTTTTTCTACAATTATCAATAAAGTTTTATCTGTTGGGCCAAAAAGTGTAAAAATTTAATACAAGGTATTAGGTATACTAAGTATACTTACTAGCTCCCCGCTCCCAAAATTCATAGTTGTGACACTGATTTCGATTATGTCATAGGTAGAATCTTAACTATTTATGTAATACAAATTTAAAATATTATTGATAATTGTTTTTATTACCAACTGTAGCATGCATGTGTTGCACTAATGAAAATAAATTTGAAGTTTTCTAATTAATTGAGCAGTGGCATATTTAGTAAAGAGATCCCCAGGTAAATCCAAGTTGGGGCACAGTACTTTTATCATGACATTAAAAAAAAAAAACTAAGACATTTTTTTGTTTTAATCAAACCAAGGCTCTAAAAGTTCATTTTTCAGTATAGGTACCTTGTTTGCTGCATAAACTATACATATTTAATGCATTTAATAGTTAAAGATTCAAAATGAGTCTAGGATTGTTATTGTTTACAAACAAATATTTATATTTATAGGTACTATTTTGTATTTATTATTTTAATATTATATCTAGTAAGTTGTATAATTGTATGGTTGTATATATGTATTTATGTACCTATACAGTACCTCATAATGCTACATCATTCATTACATCAATAACATTTGGTTTTTATTGAAATTAAATATCGTTTGTAATAAAATCAGAAAAACATCGGAAGAGAGGCAATATTATATAAGTATATTGTGAATTGTTATGACATCTACACAGGGGCGTCATTTGGGGGGGTGCAGGGTGTACATTTGCACCAACATTTTTTATAAACGCCTTCTTTGGCCTGCCAACAATAAATATAAGCGCCGATATACCTAAGTGTTATATATTAATATATTATATATATTTTATATTTTTTCAGTATTTAAAAAAAAATAATAAATATTATAGGTACTAATGGGTTTTATTTCCAAAAATGATCGATGTGGTTGTGTGGTTATATCATTGACATAATATAAAATAATAATAATATAATTATGTCTATGGGTTATATATATTTATTATTCTCTACCATGATATTATTACCATCGAATATATAAATATCTGTGGGTGTAATATTATGCTGGTATAGATTTCTTATCACGTTCCGGTATCTCCCTACGACCCTACTCATTATAATAAGAAAACAACATGATATATAAATATAAATAGCAACCGCAGAATATTATTTGTTTACATTTTAGATTCTGAGTGGAACGATGAATGTATTGATTTTACAATGATCTGTGTTTTTATTTTTTTTTTTATTTTTGTGTCTGTACACGATAAGTAGTCGAAATAATGCTTCGATTTTCGACTTCAGTATCTTGTTCGATTGGAAAGTGAATATCGTTGGTGCATTGAGGAGGTCAAATTTTAAAATTCACACTACTTTTCAAAAGCGCCAAGAAAAACAAAAGAAAAATTAAGGAAAAAACGGGAATTTTTACGCAAAATCGATTTTTCAGAAAATTGAATTTGGTTTTTGGTGTAACTTTAAAACAAATGACCGTCGATACATGAAATGTTCACTGGTTGTTTATATTTGCATTTTCTATACACGATAACATTTTCAAAATATTTTGATTTATTTTGAACTGTTTAGGGACATTTTCATTTTTCATTTTTTTTTTAGTTTTTTTTTCTAGAAATATCAATAAAATTTTATTTGTTGGTTAAAAAAACTTGAAAATTTAATAGAAGGCTCCTAGTATATTGTTTCAAAGGCAGATGAAAAATATTATCATATTATTATAATATTTTTATAAGCATTTAAAGTTCAAAAATTAACAAAATATGGAAAAATTATTTTGAGTTAAGAATTCGTAAAAATTTTTCTTTTTAAATCTAAGATTTGAAAATCTAATACAAGATTACTCATAAGATTGTCTACCTTTATCAATAAAAAAATCTCTACCGGAACATCATATTAAATTTTTATGAGCGTTTGAAATTCAAATTTTTACAACATTGAATATTCACTTGATTTCTCATGTAGCGATTTTCTTATTTTGTTGTAATTCAAAAACAAATAACTATAGATACATGAAAATTTCACTGAATGTTCAGATTAGCATTTCCTATACACTGTACAATTTTGAAAATATTTCGACTCTTTTTGAGCTGTTTATGGACATTTTCAGTTTTCAATTTTTTTAGTTTTTTTTTTCTATAAATATCAATAAAGTTTTATCTGTTGTGCCAAAAAGTGTAAAATTTAATACAAGGTTCCTGATATACTGTTACAGTAGCAATTGAAAAATATTAAAAATATATAGGCAATATTTTTTTTTATAATCATTTAAACATCGAATTTTAACAACATTTATCAAAATCTCGAAAATTATCAATCATTGTAATTAATAAATTATAAAATGTTCAGTTTTTATAGCTAAGGATTACAAATTCAACACAAAGGTTCTCATAAATAGTTCATACTATAACCAAAAAATCTAAAAAATATATGAACACACTTATTTTTTACAGACATTTTAAATTCAAATTTGGACGAAATTACATATTAAAAAACCTAGAATAACTATTTTAGTTATTTTGTTGTGATTGAATAATATTATTCGTGGGTACTTGAAACTTCTAAAGTGTACTATTATATTATATCTATGATAGTTTTACGGTTTTTGTTGATGTATAACGCGTTATAAGTATCTAATGGATATTGTGATATGATTAATTTGGAATTTATTATCATTGAACCTATTATAGGTCAATTTTTTGTTTAATACCATAGATATGTATATAATATGTCTTATACATACACTGACATACCGTCACCGCTCAGAATCGTTTTTCTTATACAATGATATTATATCATTGAATTCAAATTTAATACCATTCATTATACAGTGACCCACTTGTAACCTACTGTACAGCAGAGCGACACCCACTTGCCCACCTTTTTTTTTTAATTCTATTAATAAACGTTTATGGGGATCCTTGTTTACATTTTTAAAGTTTTTTGATAGAGCAACATTTTTTATCAACAATTATTGAATAGAAACGAAAATAAATTTCAAATACTTTTAAAAAGTTCTAAAAGAATCGAAATATTTTTTAAATTATTCTATATAAAATACTAATATTAAGCGAACATTTCAAGTGTCTATAGTTATTTGTTTTTGAATGTTAATTTTCCAACCATTAAGGAAAGCGAAGCTTATTTTTACTTTTGGGAGGTTAAAATAGACAAGTATGCACTTTCCTTGATGATTCGGAAACCCTAACCTAACCTAACTTACCAGAAAAGATATTGAAGTTCAAAATCTACATCATTGCAAAATCAATAAGCTCAGAAATCAGAATCTAAAATGAATAGGTACAATACTACAATCAATCACCTTATGTATTCTATTATCTATTATAATAATAGCAATTTATTTTTTCAAATTATATTATAAATATTTATTATTCAGACAAAAAACGGTATGATATGTTTATATTAATAGGTATAGTAATTATCACATTGTTATAAATTATTTAAGACAGTAGACAGACTACAGTTATAACTTATATTTAAAATATAAATAATTACTCACTCTTGAATAATTTGATTATCTGAAACAATTGATATAAATGTCTCTAGAAGTTTCTCATCACTTAGTAAGCTATCTAAACATACAACACATATTTATAAATAATAAGATAATGTAACGCTCTTATATTTTTAGAAAATAAAATAAATACAAAATGTTTAACATAATTATTTTATAGAGATTTTATGAAAATGGGTTACTTAACATTTACTATTAGGTAAGTCGTAGGTACATTTATATTTATCACTTTTCTGGTACTAATCTCACTCTAGTCTTTAATCCTTCACTAAAAAGGAACATAAATACATAATATTATAACATTATTATAGCTATAATATAGCCATAATATTGTAACATTATTATAGCTATAATATAGCCTATATCACTTCATACTTCATACAGAAAAATTAAAATTTGGAATTCCGTTTCTAAGTAATAAGATAAGTATTAAGTATTAACAACGCACCATCTTTATCGTCCACTCTGTGTTCCAAAACTTCAAATGCAGATGCTATTAACTTGTATTGAGCTGATATTACCACTAAGATGGTCATTGACAATAGGTCTAATGCAAATACTCCAAATCCGATGTAAAATAACAAAATACATTCTGATGCATAAAATAATTTAAAAAAGGCATTGTACGTTTCTACAGTAAACGGGTACTTAAGGTTGATAATGTTCATTTTTTGAATAGTCTCTGTATTTTGTGTTGAATCGTTAATGGAGTGAGCATTCAAAACTATTGGCACGATTGCATATGACGTTAAAGTGATCAAAAGAAAAGAAAAGTACAAATTGAAGAATTTTGATAATAGACCACAACATTTTACGATCTTATAATAGTTTCTTTTGTAAAATGCATTTGATAAAAATGTCTCATCCGTAACTCCCAGCATGTTCCAAAGTTCTCTAGCTTTAAACATTATTATTATTACTTTGAGGTTTCCAATCGTTATACAGACCACATAAAATATTATAAATATTACATCAACATCACTATTGTTATAATTGGTATTGTGCACTTTGTAAAAAAATCCAGATAGACCCAAAATTGTCATAATCGTTGTAAATATAATGAATATAATATTTACAAAATGGTATACATTAAAACCAAATATTTTTTGACAATGTGGGTCCACCATTTGATAAACACCAATCAATTTGAACAACTTAAAATTGGTATCGTAGATTTTCTGTTTATTCATGTTTGATCAAAGGAAAAATTGTCACTGAAAATTAAACAAAAAATAATATTGTGTTAAACATATAAGGAGGTAGTATTAATTTATTTTGATTTTTTTTTATCGTTTTTTCATTTTTCTTTGAAAATACAAGTTATATTATTTTTAATCGTTAATACTCAATGGTGCCATAATAACTCATAACTAGGGCTGGGATTTATATGTAATAAAAAACCAAAAATATGTACATATATATGTAATTAAAATTGCCAAAATATGTAGTATAAAATAAAAAATATGTGGTATAAAATAAAAATTATGTACTAAGAAAAATTTAAAAAATACCTATGTTAAAGTTTTAAATAAAAATACAATTCTAAATAATTTTTGATCATAATTGAAATACAATAAATTGATGTTTATTCAATTCTAAGGGAAACAATGACAAACCATATATTGTTTTAAATTTTTAAAATTAAATGTACGGCGATTTGGTCTTAACACTGACCTATACCTACTAAAGGAGCGTTCCACATCACAAGATGTTATCGGAGCATACTTCATGGCTGTTATTTCACTAGGTGAAAGATTGAGCTCCGTCGTGTCTTCAACCGCAATACCACAAATAAATCTTATACATTTAATGGTCTTCAGTCCCGAATTTTTGTTTAAAACAACGTTCATTTTATTCTTTAATAATTCTGCTGTTGGGCCCTCTGATTCATTAAATTTTGAAATTGATAAATCAATAATTTGTATGCTTTCACTCAACGGAATCTTGGTGTTTTCTAATTTTGAAATTGATTCACCCAAAAAAACTAAAATTAGACACAATATATGATTGATCAGACTTTATATTAGGTCTCTCAAAAATTTCTTTACCCTTGAAAATTGATGCTGCAAGTTCAGAATCCAACATAGATACTATATTTTTAATTTCATCATAAAATTTGGAATAATAGTTTAACGCTTGTAACCATGTCCCCCACCTTGTTATAATTGGCTCTGGAGGAAGCGGGATGTTTGGGTAGTTATTTTTGAATATTACTAAACCACTGAAATTGTCAAAATTTACGAAGTATGTAAATAAAAACGAAAATTTTACTAAGTATGTAAAAATATGTATTTATGACGTTATATGTAAAAATATGTAAAATAAAATATGTCTTATTTTATTGCAAATCACGTGAAACGAATTTATCATTTGCAATAATTAATTTATCGTGTTTCACTAAAAATATGTATTTACATACAAATTCCAGCCCTACTCATAACCATCATTAAGTATTAGCAATGTAAAATATCAAAAAAATAAATACGTAGTTTGAAGTTGAATTAAAACATTATTTAAATATAGTTACGGTTTTACCTGCAAATAAAATACCTATTAGATACTAAAAAACTGTAAAGGGGTTATGCCGGTTATGGATAACCCAAGCTTACAATAAATGTTTGGCTAACACAGTCAACCTTTATATAATTATATAATGTAATATTTATAATATATAGATACATATTGTTGTATTAAGTATAAATACTGAATAACAATAAAAAAATTCTTGAATGTAAATCATACCTGGCGTCTGTTATGTCGACTATAGCTGAAATCGAACTATAAGAGTAGATTTATAGCAACATTTGAATACCGATTGAATGTCTTAGAATATGTTGGGTCAATTAATGTTAAATCATACTATAATATAGTCTCCTACAAGTTACAACTTGCATTTAATTTGTAGTTTGTAAATATCTCTTATAGTCATAATTATAATAATCACCGAAAAATAGAATGTAGGTCAGGTATATTTAATTAATAATTAACGAATTGTAAAATTAAATATTCATATTTTTGTCTTAACTACCTATATAATTGTATAAGCGTTATTAATTTATATTGCCTGTCCTAATTTAACTTCGCTATTGAGTAGGTCACTGTAATCGATGTGTTAAATTTAAATTCAATGATAAATCAAGTATCAATATATTATGGGAAAAACAATTTTGAGCGGAGACAGTGGGACTCGACGGAGTCTATATTTTAAGAGACAGCTTATATAAATTAGTATAATAATATAAATAGAATATTAGTAAACTTCAATGCATTCTTCTATTATTGTTTATGCTTCTTTATTTATAATTATTTCTGTTTTATTACGGTTATGAATTATGTACATATTATATATTTATTGATTTTTAGTTATGTATCCTAACCAATGTCGTGTTTTTATTATATTTAATTAATTTTTGTTTCCTCTAATATAAAACAAAATCAAAAACGTATGATTAACTATACGTAATACTAAAAAAAATTGTTTTAAATGGATTTTTACGACATTATTGTTTTTATTTGTACATATTAAATATTAATATTAACCGACATTTGTTGTTATTTACACTGGTAAAGTATATTTTAGATGTCGAATATCTTTATGAATATCTTAATCATCAAATACCTTTGTATAAAGTATTAACTGACGAAAAATGGTAGGACTAAACAGGGCAGCATTTAAAAATATTTAATAGGTGTAAAGACGATTCTTTCAATCAAAACCACCAAAATGTGCACATTTAACTTGACTATAATCAAGGTGATTAACTTTTGACACTAATAATACGTTTAACCACTTAAGCCCACACGTAGATATTTTACCCCAATATTAAAGCTTGTATATAACCACCAATTACACAATTTCGCTCTAGGCTTAATCATTTTGCTAAATATATTTTCATTTTTCAAATATACATAAGCGCGAGGAATGAGAATATATTTTTGATTTTATACTTTTAGTATTGAATAGTGGATACCCTATTAAGTTAGAATATAATATTATACTAATTTACAGAATATTACAGTATATACATAGTATATTATCTATAATATGCATATTTTCTGTTATGTTAGTTCGTTTATTCATTGTTACCTATATAGCCATGGTTACCAAATGGCAAATATACTACAATTGATTATACCTATATAAATATTATTTAACAATATAAATTGTTGATTTAGATTATATCCTAGCCATATAATCATAAGCATTTCTCTATATTTATATTGAATTATTTAAATATTTAAATATTCAACTATTATTTTGTATATTTACAATAGAAAGCGTGTCACTTACTTTGTGACATGCCTTATTTTCGTTACTGACTTTTGATTATAAACAATTATAGTATAGATATAAGAAGAAATAAGTTGTAAAGATTGCAGTGTATATTGGAAAATTTTTGTTAATAAATAACAATATTTAAACATTTAATATTTATCTATCGACTGTTTGGAAAATTATTTTACTTCCTAATATGAAATGTCAAGTGAGACGATTAAAAGGGTCAAAACAATAATAAAAAATGTTCGAGTTGCATATATTATGTACAATTTTTAAAAAAGAAAATTTCCAAAAAGTTAAGACAGAATCATAATGAAATATGAATGTTCTCTTTTAATAAGACGCTACAACACTAGCATGCGTTTTCTCCTTAAGACAAGACTATACATAAAATTACAAATTGTACCTATGTTCTTAATAATCTATTAAACTATGTTAATATGTTTAATATTAGAGTGACTTACAAATAATTGTTGTACAGTTGAATATATAAATAACTCATAAATATAAAAAATATAGTAAAATCTTTTGACGTTCATAAGATAATATTATAATTAATTCTAAAATGTATATTAGGTAAAATATTAAATATATCAGAGCTAAATGGATTATTCAGACCATATACTAATTTTATAGTTTATTCAGCAGTGTATGAGGATAAGGACCTTAAACATTTATACATTCAGTTTATTTATAATTCACTTTATCAGGAGTGTTTACTGTTTAGGTATATCATTTGCGATTTGTGGTTTGTCGTTTATTAGGTTATGTAAATCTTATAGTGAATTAAATGATATAATAACACGTAATATATTATAACACGGCAGATACTTATTAAATTATTTTTTAGTTGTCTAGTTTTTTAAGTTCATATAATTAGTTATGTGTATTATTCATTAAAAACTTAGCACTATTAAAAATCAAAATTGATTTTTAAATTTAATGTTATAAATCTGAAATCATTGAATTTAAAATGCATTATCATAATAAAAACACAGTATACATAAGAATAAGAATAATTAATAATCACTAAAAAAAACTTTATAAGTCATCAATCATTAGTGAAAATTTAATTAAACAAATGCAATGGACCTATATGACTTTAATTAATATTTAATTTAGCCATTAATCTCTTTCTGTCTCGTCTATCCCCCCTTAGTTAACTTTCTCACTATATAATCTGTATTATTCAACTTATCTTCAGCACAGTTCATCAATTTCATCATCTACTTAACATTTTCCCTTTATTAACAACGCAATATGTTTCACTAAAAATGTTGACTCTGTAATTTTTTTTTCTTATATTATGTTCTGCGTATTATCTTTTATACAGGCAAATATGAAATAAATAAACAAATAAATTATTATTTATAATATACATCCATGCAATATCGTGTAGGTACGGTATCGATGTTATAATTTCTATCATTAATATTTTTCCATAAGGATTTTATCAAACATTATTTCCACACCTATATAACATAATTGGTATAAAAACCAAGTTAAAGTATTTTGTACCTTTTTTATCTGCGGTAAATTTTCACAATAAATGGTTAGAACATCAAAAACACGAGTGATATAAGTGGCGGGTGTTACTTAAACATGAGTGGTGAGGCATTACACTTTACTCAACTAAATCAGTATAGGTTACATACTAGGTTGGGTAGTCCATACTACATACCTACCCAAAAATACGTATCTGCAAATTAGTTGAAAATCATATTTTGAACACTGCTAAAAGCATGCTTTATGACTGGTGATACAATTAACATATTGGTAAGCTGTATTCATACTAATTTCTGATTTCACTTTACAAAATTATAAAATCAGTGATGTAGAACTGATATAAAATATAAAGCACACACATTTTTTTCTGTTATCTAGTTTTGAAGAAGTTCTATTATTTCGCCATAACTAACCTATATTAGAAAAACCTCTATTAATTAATATAATATTATAATGTCCACAAAAAATGACTATATAGCTGTGTAATAAAAATATTATTCTTACCTATACACATTTTTGGGGGATTGTATAGTTTTACAGTTGTCATTGAATTCGTCGCATTCAATCTTATACAAATATTGTTTTATGTCTCACAAATAAACTTTCAAAGACATAGGTTAGATTGGCCGAACGCCAACTACATTCTTCCTGTAAGGTTTCGAGTAAGTTTGTTACTCTGCGTGAGCTTATAAAACATTTTACTTATAAGTATTCAGAACAGCCAGAACACGTTCGATCATAGTCGTAGGATGATCAAATTTATCGTGGGGGAGAGCCCCCCCCAGATTTAAGTTAATGAGATTCATTAAAAAAAAAATGGTATGCCTAGGTAGGTATCTTTATTGTTTTTAAATTGCTATAATATCAAAATGGGACAAAATAATTTCAAAATATTACCATATTCGTATAGAAAATGCTAATACATATACCTGATCATTTGGTGAAAATATCAAGTATATACGTATAACTGTATATATATATATAACTTATGTGCGAGAAACTTACTTTATAAAATCCTGAGAAAAAAATGTAATATGCAGTTAAAATCGTAAAATAATAAAAGGTAAAAATAGGTAAAAATATGGGTTCCAAAAATTTAATCTTTTGAACTCAACGTTATGAAACACATGGTGAGCTTACCTATAACATATCATAATATTATGATCAACTAGAATAAATTACAATTTCATCCAAATAAACAATCTATTAAATATTGAAAATAATAAACTGTTTTTAATCCTGTTTTAATTTTTTTCAGTTAATTTATGTACTTTTTTTTTAGATTTCAAGAACATCTTTGACTTCTGTGAATCATGAATACCACAGAGGAAAAATATGCTTTTAATTTGACGTTATTCAAAACAATTGGCTATTACCAAATGATCGATCCAAATAGTAAAAAAATATTTGGTTTTAATGTATATAACGTGATCAATATTACGTTAGTTATATTTACAAGTATTATGACTGTTATTGGATTATCAGGTTTTCTTTACAAATCCGATAATATAACATCCGAAGAAAACAGTTTTAAGGATATACAAATGTTATTTTACCTTTCATGTATTGTCCTTGGAAATTTAAAAATAGCTATAACGGCATATAATGCTGATGCAATTTGGGAGTTATTAAATGTAGCACACGAATCGTTTTTATCCAATAAATATTGTAAACAAGACAAATATAAGCTGTATAACTGTGGAAAACGATTTGCAAGAATTTTCCCTTGGTATTTTTTTATGTTTATTATGACAGCAGTTGCATGGTCAGTTGTACCTATTGTTGTAAATAATCACGCCGCAACCCAGAATAATGAACATATTTACATGACCAATATTGCAAATTTGAGGTACCCTATTACTGTGAAAGCATATAACACATTTTATAAGGGTTTTTACGCATTGGAATTTATAATGGTATGGTATTCTGCATATGGACTAGTAGTATTTGATCTTTTCATTGTGGCATTACTCCAGTTACTAGCCACTCATTACGAAATAATATCATCTACGTATGAAAACTTCAAATACAAGGCCGAAAACAAGGATGGTGAGTTGAAATATATTATTTTACCTTTGAAATAAATATATAATTTAACATTATTTTGTTTGTTTGTAAATTTTTTGAATATTAAATTTACTATAAATTTAGAGCATTTTCCGATTTATTTCAATAGTTAAAATTACTTTCAATGAACTTTGTTATAGAACTATAGTGATTTTTTTTCTTTAATATAAAAAGTCTTGTGCTCGTTTTGATTCCATATTTCCCACGAATGAATTAGTAGTGGTGTTATTATATGTTTATATGTATAGTTTATATTTCTAGATACTGTTTTCTGTAATAATTTCGACTTTTGGATATATTTGGAACTATTGGAAAATTTTCCGTTATTTGCATTTTAAAGAAATGCTCACAGTTCACAAGGGGTTTGAAACTTATGGTGTGAATCGAACATTTTTTTTGCTTACAAAATAAATGGTTGCCGTTGGTAACATATTATACAGATTATAATAGTAATAGTATAGAAATCATTAGTAGAAATTAGTATTTATTTTTAACAATATAAATGGTTGCCATCGGTTACTCGGGCAGATGAGGTAAATGGCATGTATAACATCTATACGTTATTATGGCGTCAAATAAAGAAATATTATAACTTAAAACAAATATGAGATTTTAATGTTTTGTTGTATATATTCTAAAACTACTTGACTGATTTTGTAAACATTTAAAATTCTTGTTGGCGATAACAGAAAAGTTTAGAGAGTTGTTTGAACCACGTTCGCCTTATACTAAGTGCTATATCGAATTCGCCACAAGCGAATTGACCGAGGTAATCGAATTATTTCAGGAATACCAACGACGATTTCCTTGTGAGAACGTATATAGTGCTAAATATAATATTATTTTCATTTTTCACGAGCTAGTTAGGTGATTCAGCTAAAAATTGATGTTTGTTAATCCGAAGTTAATACTCAAACACTACCTACTGGACCATTTTCAATAAAATGTATATCAATAGATTTATATCCTTGAGACTTGAAGAGTTTTTATAGATTATTTTTTCAACCCCTTAGGTACCTATAGCTGAAGGGTAGCTCACATAAGATTTTTTTTTCAGCTCATGAAAAAAGAATATTTTTTTGTTTATTTAAATTGTTGTCATTGGTTACAAATTATATACTTAGGTAACTATTTTATAAATCATAATTAGTAGAAATACAGCATATTATACATTTGTTTACAAATAAACTTATAAAAAAAAATCTTTGGCATGAACAACACCCTGGGATAGCTTTTATTTAATATAGTTTATAAATATTAAACCCAAATGAAACTCGTGTTCATATTAAACAAACTTTGATACATATATAAATGGCTAAAACGACAGATACTCAATTATAGAACATTATATAATATTTATATTAAAAAATACGAAGTATTTAAAATACATAAAAGTGAATACAATGATATAATACTCTCAATTTAAAAATTACAATATTCGAATTCACTCTATGTTGAATATTATAATATGAGTATTATATATAGGTGCCTATAATAATAAATTATGTATACTAATTGTACATTGAAAGTATTAATGTATTTTAATAAAGCAATAATTTTCAGGTAAATTAAGGAAGGAGGAAATTCAGAAAGAACTTGTATCAATAATTGTTGATTGTCAAACCATTTATAAGTAAATATATTTAGATTTAATATAATTTAAAGTATTGTTAGGTATAGTAGCAATTGCTATATTATTCTATGGGACACTGGGGTATAAATCGCAAATACAACTAAAATCATTATTTCTATAAAGTCCATCGTTTTGCTAGATAAATTAAGAAATTAATAAAACGTGATTAAATTTAACAAAATAAATATTATGAGATGTAAGCGCATACCTTAAAATCTCTCACATGAAAATATTTGTGTATAATACAATTTCTATTATATTTAAGCATGTTAAATAATTACTAATAAATATTAAAATTTTGAAAAATTTCAGGAAATTAGAAACATTATATGGGATTTCTCGGCCAATTGTTTTAGTATATATGGTAGGAGATGCAATTGGAATGATAACTATGCCTTTTTTAATTGTTATGGTGAGTTATTGCTTATTTGTCATAAATTGTAATTATTCTGAAATTATAAACCGAAGTTTTTCTCCAAAATTAATTTATTATTAAAGTTTTACCTACGGGTTAAGGCTAAATATTAATAATATGTATGAGTTTAGTCTTACATGCAAAATGGATCATCAATTTTCAATACTAATGTTATGGCTTTTTCTTGGACGTTGTTTGTTGTTGGAATTCAATCCTACATGTACTGTAGTTTACTTCAAAACGTAAACGAAAGAGTAATATATAAACATTTATTTTTCAATTTGTAATATAATTATTATGAATCATAAAGTTTAAATCGTTTATTGGTTTGGTTTTTATATTTTTAGAAAGAAGATGTAAATTTTGGATTATATGGTTGTGACTGGACATTGTTGGATATTGAGATAAAAAAACTAATATTGTTGGCGATGCGAATAAACAGCTCAAATAATTTAAAAATGAAAGTGACATCCACAAAATTGATTGATCTACCTATGTTTGCAAGTGTATGAATAGAAACAAAGTTAATTTATGCATTGAAAATCAATTAATTATATTATTTTTCAGATTGTAAGATCGTCTTATAGCGTAACATCAGTTTTAATCAACTCAAATATTCATAAAATAACTAAATAAATAATAATATATTTTAATAAGTATAGTATTATAATTTATAATATATAGTTCTGAAATAACTTAATGATCACTTACTATTATATAATATTTTAAACAAAATATGTATATGTATTGAAAATACCAATTGCCAATTCGCTCATTGATGATGACGTATTTAGTTTGACAACAATTTTTTTTTAAACATATAATGCTTTAAATAATAAAATAGAATATTTTCATTATACAATTATATGTGTTAAATACTTAGATAGTTAGATATATATATGATATTAGATTAGATAGTGCGTGTGTGGTTTGTCACTTATTAGTACATGATAAGGGACATCATATTATATTCATCATTATTCATTGTAGGTTTGCAGATAAACATCGAACGGTAGAAGCCAAAAGTCTACTATAGCCACTAACCAGTAACCACTAGGGCTTTACTAAGAGTCTTCCTAAACGCTATACGTCGACAAATAAATTAAATATAACTATATTACAATTATTGTAAATTTTTGGTGGTTGGTCTTAGTATTTGTTGGCAATGAACTAGAATATTCATGGGTACCTATATTTTTTGGGAAAAATTTTCTGTAATTAAGTTTTATATTTTATTATTTATTCTATTTCTATTTATTCAATGTAATAATAATGTTAGATAACATTTAAACCAACCTAGATATTATATAATATTTACAGTTTCATATACATAAAACTATTTGTAGGCTGAGAATAGGTCATATTATACACTCATACTAAGGTTACCGAGGCCAACTTATGAGCAGATGAAAACCAGAATCATATCAAACTGCCTAAAACTTGTGGTGATTTAGGCCTTTTTATAAACTCTCAAAACCATGTGTTTGTTACATACAGACATACAGTGTGTGTATATGTACTGTGTATTATACTAGTATACTCATAAAAGTACCCTAAGTTTATTTATACTAATTTATTATTACAATACATCAAAATATATAGTATATGTTAATACGGCGCTTTGGATAGGCAATTTAGGGTCATTCAATATACTTAATGATTTTTTTCTTTAAATTAACCAATAAAATGGATTTATAAAGGCCAAAGGGTCAAACGGGTAAAGTAGGGAACAGATAAGATGTACCAAAGAAGTCGGGTGTACCTGATCATTGAGTAAGTCACTCGTGATTGATGTATTAAATTTTAATTCGATGATAAATCAAAGTAATATTTGGTAATTTATTAATTTGTTTATATATACGGTATATAAGCTGTAAATAGTCACAAGCATACAATTAATCTAAATGTATAGACGATGTCATTTTGTATATAAAATACAATAATATATGTATGAATTTCAAATCCCCACGAATAATATTTTCGAATTACAACAAAATAACTTCTTTTTTTTAATTATTTATTTTAAAAAGTATATTTACAATCTATACAACAGACAAGGTATAATGAGTAAGTGTGGTGACATAAAAACATAAGACATAAAATAACATTAATAGGAAGACTCCCAGCAGTGCCACCTGACACGAAATTAACAAAATAACTAAAACCGCGTTATTCATCCAAATTTAAACTTCAAATTTATGTAAAAAATTGCGAGAATGGGTCCGTTTTTTTTTTTTTTAATGTCGATCACTATCATCAAAACATCGTATTACGATTTCAAGGTTTTTGACTGACCAAAAATTTATCGAAAATAATTTTAAAAAATTGTTCATACTTATAAATAGCACAAACAGTTTGAAAATGTAATTATGTTTAGAGAATGATAAAATAAACATTTGGTCAAAATTTCAAGTAATTACAAATTTTTAAACTAGTGGAGCTAAACGCGATCCACTGAGCATAAATTGCGATGTTACACACTTGTAAGACAGAGACAAAAACTATCTGTGTAACGTCCTCTTAAGAACTAAGAATTAATAAACGTAATAATGAATATTATGTTTCGTACGTGTACCTATAATAATATTTTGAATGAACTATTCTTTGATCTCGGTATAATTAATTTTAGATTCTAATAGCGATGATGTATGTTTTTTATTTTGTGCCTATATATAGAAAAAGTAGAAGAAAAATAAATTCAATTTTCAATTTTAAGAGTTGTACATAGAAAATTGGATCAAGTATGTACTTTTAAGAGATCAACATTCAAAGTAATTGGGAAAAACAAATAAAAATTTAAAATAACGGGAATTATTACTTGAAACCAGTTTTCGATGGAATTGTTTATTTCTTTGGTGCAACTCAAAAATGAACAACCGTATGTATTCGAAATTTTCACAAAATATTGTACTACCATTCCATTCTAAAATTTCAAAATTTGATAAAATGTTGTCATGTTATAAACATTATTTAACAAAATATTAGTGTAAGATTGCAGCACCCTCTATAAGCTAAGCTTACCTACAATATATTTTGTTATTTAAAAACCAGATAGCGTACTTTTATAGTGGCTTCAAAATGTAAGTATTTATTTAAGAGATGTCGTTAGTAGTCGGCTCAACTGCAAAGGTATTGGCGTTTCTGAAAATAAAAATATACATTTTATAATTTATTCAAAAAAAAAAATTAGGTATTGAGAGATGAAAAGCTTATATTATGTTAATTTAAATTACATTGTTGTATATGTCAAATTTTCTGGATCAGGTTCGTTTAATCGTCTCTTTGAGGAGTTGAAGAAGAATCGATGTCGTATTTGTGTTGGTTGCTAGTGTTGTACATAGTATTGTATTGTAATATAGGGGAGCATGACATTAGTCTATCTATGGAGTAGTTTGTCATTAGGCATTCGGTTAACAGGTATTTAACTGTAATTGTGGTGCATTTTCGTTGTTTCTTTTTGTTCATTAGATGTTCGTGAGTGTGTGACCAATTCTCTATCTGTTGAATATGGTTTGATGTCTGCAAGGGAGTGATAAATTGTATACTTGTGTACCATTGGGAGGGTGAAACCGTATTTTTGTTTTTATAATTTTATCCAATATATACATATAATAGTTGAATATTAAAATTAAAAATCACATAAATGTGATATTTATAGACAATTAAACGTAAACTACTTAATTTTATACCTAGTTTTCTTTTGTCATTACGAAACTGTATATGGACATATGGTTATTGGTAAATAACTACAAATATAGATAGATAGGTACCTAAATACCTTAGATTGTATACATCGGATGGAGCGCCATGGAGATGCCCATCTCACCCGTGTTTACGATTTGACACACATATATACCTAACCTTTTTAGTTCTTAAAGTGAGTATATGTGAGCAGTGGCGTATTTTGGGTTTTTTTTTGGGGGGGTGTCCTGACTCCTGATCTCCACAGTTATTTAATGACAAATATTAACATAGTTTCATCACTAATTCATACCTGATTATAATACATCCTAATACCTTATATAAGTGGACATTTTTTTGTAAAAAAATTTTAGGATTGCTACTTACATTTTTAATTATAATACAATTATGACAGGAATAAAGTATAAACAATTTTACTGAATAAAATAAAACCAATCTAACACTTAAATTTACTGAGTATTTTTTCGTATGAGTTTAATTTATTTTGTATACTTATATAATATTATAGATATATTAAAAGGAAAAAAAACACTAAAATTTCAAAACTTTAACCTCACAGTATTAAAGGTAGACGTCTTTTTTTTTACAGCCAATTCGTCCAATACTTGCTTACTTTCAATGCGATCCTTCCGATTGATTGATAACATGGCTAATCCATTTAGCCTTTTCTAAATAAAACAATTATTTATTTATTTAATTTTATAATTATGATTTAGACTTAGTCAAAAAAAAAATAAACTTACTTGGCCCATAGTATTACGTAAATAAGTCTTTATCTTTTTAAGTGATGAAAATGATCTTTCGTTCTGTGCAGTTGAAACTGGCAGTGTCACAAAAATTGTTAACAATTTAAATATATTTGGGTATATTTCTGGATTACATACAGACAAAGCTTCCATTGCGTTTCTTTAGTTATAAGTTTCAGCAAAAAATAATATTGTTGTACATCGAGTGTACAACTGTCAACTGACAACTGTACATAGTACACTTTATATCGTTGGTCTTTTGCTATCGTAGATAATAATAATTGTTGTATTTGAAGAAAGATAATAAGGCGATAGCCAATAATACGGCTAGCCGAAACGATAATACAATTCTAAGAATTACATAGTTCACAATATTCTGTTATTTCGCCACTGCCTGCACGGCTGCACCTAGAGAGCTATTTATATATATTATATACACGCAATATATATAATCAATGCTAATACCTATTGACTATTATCTGGTATAAGATGAAAATATAAAATATACATTATTCAATTTTCTTTTTTCAAAGCAGTTTTAAAATATTTCGTTATTCGTATTTTGTGATACTTCAGTAATGAATATAACTAAGAAAAAAATTGGGGGGGTTTTAACCCCCAGGACACCCCCCCCCCTAAATACGCCACTGTATGTAAGGAGAATCATAAAATCATTATATATTTAGCAGTTGATCGCTTAATTTATATTCATATATGTAAATTCAAAAAGATGAATATGTTACAGTTTATTAATCTAATACATATAGACGCGTATTCAATATAACGGCCATAGGCGATGTAAAATTTTGCAGACATCAAATAGTGAATAAGTATTATAGACTTGTTAGACTTGTCGCTAAATGCTGATAAATATGTGCCTCAAATCATCGGGATATGGGCCCCCTCCATAATTCATATGATAGTATACCTTTTTTTTCCTTGTGGTATATCGACGACGTTGTCGAAACTTCTTGCGAATTCCTTCGTACTTTACTAATATTACTACTTAGTACTTACCATCGTTTATTTATTTAAATAATTTATATTATACCTCCTATTTTAATTAATATCATACATGATACATCCATACTATACACGGGAAAAAAATTACTATAATATTATAGTTGAACAAATTATAGTAGATATAACTATTTAATAGATAAAATAACTAAAATGATTTACTTATTATGACTATAGACTATATAAATATAGTTGGATTTTATGGTAATGTTTACTATATTTTAAAGTTGCCTAACGACGTTTTTAATGTTTGAATTAATTAAAATATATAGTTAAAAATTAAAATAGCATATTTCAGTTCGAATAACTATAATATAACTTGACTATGATATTTTAGTAAATCTGACTAACCTTATAGCTATGCCTATAGCAATTATAATGTACAGCCAATCCTACTATTTTTATAGTACAAACAACTGTTTTGTTTTTTCCGTGTACCTATATGGCTATATGATGTAACTAGTATGTAAGGAGTAGGGACGTAAGGTAGATAGTAGATACTATATAGAATATAGATCAGTGGCGTATTTAGGGGGGAGCAAGGGGGGCAATTGCCCCCGGGCAGCACTTTTTCGGGGGCAGCAAATTTAACTGGGAGTTTTTTTTTTTAAACAGATGTAAAAAAAAAATAATAAAAATGTTAGTTATTTTTTTATATAGGCAAATCAATGTCAACAAAACATGATATTAATATCAACACTACAACACAGCTGTTTTGTGAAAATTAAATCTCCACATTTCATAATAAGCTGTATTGGTTTATTATTTGTCGTGGGCTGTTTAAAAACACAGTACTACCGCTCTTATGATATTGCAGACCAAGATGTTAATTACAACTGCTGTGACGGTTTGATAGTGATACTCAGATACTGTAATAGTATGATAAATGATAACCAATTACTGGCTATTTAATTTTAAATTATCTTTACGCTCGGCCTTAAAAAATGTTACTTTACGTCTTGTTAAACTTTGAAAGTAACATTATTATTTATTTTTATTGAACGGCGTGTTAAAATCTTTACAGTGTGTAAAATAGTTAAAACATTTTAGTCTATTCCTCTCACAACGATTAAACTGTTTTTTTCTATTCATCATACCCATCTGACTATCTGAGTAACTAAGAGTGCATATTTTTAATTACCTTTTCTAAATTATGCGAACCTCTAAGTTTGAGCTATGCTAATCAGTCTCTTATTTTATATTATTATCCAAAATATCCATAGTACCTAGGCATTATAATTTTTATTTGTAGAAAACAGTAAATTATGCAAGTATGATGTCTTATGAAAATATTAATATTTCATTTGAATTTTTGTTCAACATTACTGATTTGTCAGTGTTAGAAGTAAGACAAAAATCTGGATAGTTACAAAAATTATATCCTCAACTCTCAAGATCTAGATAATATATCGTTTATGAATGAATGTATTCATTTTCGTGGTTACTTAAAAGGCTTACCAGAAAACGTATCCACAAAATCAGTGTTATATTTGTGTCAAGTCATAAAAGATGATAATTTGCTAGATATTTTTACTCATACGTTATAATATTGCATTGGGAATGTTTTTCTGTGTTCTGCATCAAATACATAGGCCGAGCGTTCATTCAGTACTCTTAAAAGAGTTAAATCATATCTTAGATCTTCGATGAATGATAATCGTTTAAACTCTTTGCCGATTCTGAATATTGAATCTCAGTTGACAACTTCATTAAAGTATGATGAAATAATTGAAGATTTTGCAAGATCAAAAGCGTGACGAAAAATATTAACTTAACGATGTTTGTTGAATTGTTGACATTTTGTTCACTACTTTGTAAATAGATATGAAAATAAATTAATACATTTTACAATTTGCTTTGATTATTTTGTTATCATGGGTACTACTGAGGAAACCTACGATATTCAACATTCTAGGACACTTGATGGATTTTTATACTGCATGATACTATTAGCATATCACGTCATGTATTGTAAATTTTTTTTGGATAAGAAATATTGTCACTATGAAAAACCAGTGAGAGGAAAATTAAAAAAAACATTAGAGAAGAGAAGAGAGAAAACATTAAAAAAATGTGTACCCAGTGCAGCAAAATCCTAAATACTCCACTGATATAGATTGTAGGTAGGTAGGTGCATTATATTGTTAATATAATAAACATTTCAAATAGGTAGTCAAATTATAGGTGTTTATTACTTAATCACAAGTAAACATATTTAAAAGATCTTTTAAATATATATTGGAAATTCGGTAATAGGTACCTAATATATTGTAAAAATAATTTAGAAAACATAGGTATACGAGATTTATCTTGATAAAAAAAAATGTAGTCAACTAAAAATATTTCAGGGAACTACCACAGTAAATAGGTAATTATATAATAATAAAACCAAAACGAAATAATTTTTAAACCAATTTTTATAAATTATAATATATATAATATATATTTATAAGAATTATATTTATTATGCATTCGATTTATTATTTCCACGATTTATGCTAATTCCGGCATAGATACATAAGTAATAAGTAATAACAAAATAGGGGCTCAGGCCTATACAAGATATTTTTGAACATCTCAACAGTTCTATCCTATTGTTAATACACAATAAAATGCAGATTACTTATTATATTTTAGTTTGTAATTATTTTGACTTTGTATTGAATTATCAGCTGATCAAATATCGCCAATTATTATGGATAGCACAAATAGCTGTGTTTACTGTTTACTATGTACAACGACGACGCGTCAATAATGTATTTTATTAACGAGTGTTGTGAGTTATTTTTATAACACGTGTCTATTCACAACCGATTTGCAGACCATCTATTGGCAAGTCGCACGTGGCACACCAATGACAGCATTATTGTCTCTGAAAATAATTTAAATTTAACAATACGGTAACAATATGAGTTACAAAGGTATAATATATTTACTTACATGTATGAACATAATATAATAGTTCGGTCCCCAATCGAATAACAAATTAATACATTTTGATCAGAGATTCCAACTATGCAATTGTTTGTTTTATTATTTATTATTTAGGTAGGTATCATTATATATTTTACTATTTTTTCATAAATATTTGTCCAGGTACCTAATTGAATTTGATAAATATTAAATAATAACATTATATATATTATATTATAGGTATAATCAATGTTCATAACAGTAACGAAAAATATCATGCAAGAAAAACATTATTCAATATATAGGTCAAAGGACTTTATAGGTATCTTACTTTCTATAAACTTGAATGTATAAACCATTTTTAAATAATATCGTTTAAACAAAATCAGAGGTGATACAGGGGGGGGGCGATATAGCAGGTACGAAAAATAAACCATCTGACCTACAAATGTATTTATGAATACCTACTTAAAAAATTTTCAAACCCCCCCCCCCACAAGAAATCTTTTCCAGCGTTCGCCCCTGAACAAAATAATAGGTACACCAGCTTACTCCTAAAACACGAATAAACAAAAATATATTATGATGAAGTAATAGGTAAGTCACTACTCACTAATAAAAAGTAATAGTTGTGTAATTCAAATTTATTTTTAAAGATAAAAATACAATTATAATATTTTTTTTTTTAAATTTAAATCAACCCGTGGAAACAGTGACCATTGGGTGAAATTGACAAAATTAATTTACAATATATTGATGAAATAGAAGTATTATACTTATAACTTATACCTAACCTAACCTATTTATAGGTACTTAAATACTAGATAATGTAATACGATGATAATTTATGATAGTAAGAGTCTCAACTGTTGAGTAGATCATAGACAAACGATGAATTTGATTGAAACTAAGATAGATTTGGCCATTTGGGATCAATTATCATTATTGTAGTAAGAAATATGAATTACTAGATACAGTCTATAACAGGGATGGCAAATAGGATTTGTCGAACGTGCCAATTTATGAAACAATTTTTAAAAAAATGTCATCTATACCACTAATTATGTGAGAATATTATACAGAGGCACAGAGCATTTTTACAAAGTATAAATGAAAAATGAATGATGATGTACAAAATACTTGTTATAAAAATCAACTTTTATTGACTGTTAGAAACATTTTCTTCATATTACTTGAAAATTGTTTTTATGTTTGGTATT